TCGATACAATTGATGTATGGATTGTTATAAGAGCTGTAAGAGCCCCCAATAAAATGATCTTATGGAACAAACAAACAGAACGGGGCAAAAGATGTGATGAACGGTGTCTACCTAGAACGCTTTTCTTTATGGAACCATCAGAGAGTGCTGTGTGAACATAGATAATAAAGTAAAATTTGGCCCTACCCACCGATAATTTATCTTGTTGGCATACTACTGGTGATAGTGCTTAGTGATATTGAATACTTGCGTGTTCAGTGACGAATTAGTTATTGGCCACTTGCCAAAAAACACATGCTTATGAGGCAAACAGTTCACATCCAGTATTTCATTTGATTTGCACAACTTTTTGAAATAGATAATATTATTCTCCTTATTTTACAACAGAGGAAACAGGTTCAGAGAGCTAAATACTCAAGTAGTAGAGTTAACTTTGAACCCGTCTATGTACTAGCATATTCATATAAATATATTTTCTCTTCTTTTTTTCACAAGTAGTAAAAAAATCATAAACCCTTTTCTGCACTTTGCCTTATTTTAATAATTCACCTAAACAGCATTCTATATCACTGCATACACAGCTTTCGAAATTTTGTACTATAGTGTTCTATTGTTTTGATTTCTTAAAACTTATTTAATAAGTATAATTTAAATGCATTTCTATTTTGCTATTAAACTTGAGAGTAATCTTGTAATCATAATTTCGCATGTGTGTATCTTGTAGGGTAATTCCTTAAAGGGGAATCAGTAGGTCAAATAGTATGTATGTTTATATTTTTTATAGTTTTGGCACAAAGCCCCCAACTTCTTGTCTTGCTGATTCCTTCTATTGTTTTTCTGTGTCATGTGTTTCTGCTCTAATCTTTATTGCAAGAATAAGTAAAAAATAATTCTATAAAATCATAGAAACCTTTATTTTTAAAATATCAATATGTGAATATTGTTTCTCGATATCTTCTCCATCTACGTCTCTACACTTCTAAAGATGATATTTCCATCTCTCTAACCCTTCCCACAAAGATTTTGGTACATCCTTCTTGTGTTCCTTTTTAAGGCTCTTTGTATGTAAAAAGAAGTCTGAAGGGGCAAGAGCAGGGCTGTAGGGTGAGTGGGATAGGGTTTCACAACAATTCCTATAGGACAGACCTTGCTACCTTTGAACCTTATCATGTGGGGGAGAAAGTTTCTTGAGCACAAATTGCCTAACTTTTTTTTCCACCAATGTAGTTTTCAGTTTTCTTCAAACTTCTTCATAATAGGCTCCCGTGAGCACCCTATGTCCATGGACATAGGACAATTTGTCAAAATGTATAAAAAGATAGCACCATAGCATTCTGAAAGAGCCCTGGTGGCAAAGTGATTATGCTTTGGATGCTAACTGCAAGGTCAGCAGTTTGAAATTACCACCTAGCTCTGAGGGAGAAAGATGAGGTTTCCTACTCCTGTAAAAGAATACAGTCCTGGGAACCCACAGGGGCAGTTCTACCCTTGTCCTAGCCACTGTGTCTGAGTGGGAATTGACAGTGCGATACTGAGTGAACCTCTGCTCTAACTGTACTGCTTCAGCTGATGGACCCTTGGTGGCACTGTTGGATAAGTTTTGAACTGATAACCACAGGCAGGCTGTTCAAAACCACCAGCCACTCTGTGGGAGAAAGATGAGACTATTTGCTCCTGTAAAGATGTACAGCTTGGAAACCCTATGTAAGATCACTGCATCAGAATTGACTCTGTGGCAGTTGATTTGTCTGTCTGTTTTGGTTGGCCCAGCAGACCATTTTGGAAGCCTGTTTGAACTTTTTTTTTTAAGGTACCTTAACAAGACCGAGATAAGTGTGTTTCTGACAGAGCTTGTCTGCAGTCATGTACTGATTACAGAGCCATTTTGAAACACGTTGTATTTTTTAGACTAAACCTGTACATGTATGAACTGGAACCTAATAACAATACTTTATGACTTACCCTTGTAGAATCACAGGTTTCTTATTATAGTATTTCCAGATATTGATGTTTTTTATTGTGATTACAAGTTGGATCACTTTTTCCATTTTGGTTGTTACTAGTTATAGCTGGCGTACATGAAAACTGTTTACTTGAGGAATATTTGTTTTCTATGTACCCACTTGGAATTCTTTAGAATTCTAAGAATATTTCAATTGGTTCTTGTTTTCTCAGGGTGAATAAATGTACCATGTTTAAATAATGGAATCCTTCCTGCTTCCCTTTCACTAAGTGCCTCTTCCTCCACCTCCACCCCCACCCCCACCTTCATCTCTTATCTCTTGGCCAGAATTCTTAGAGTCAGGATAAATTATTATTATTATTAGTATCTGTGTTTTAGTCCCTGACATTTAAGGAATATTAATTTGCTTTATTTAAAGGATTCCATTCTAATTGCGCTATAGTTTCTCCTGAGTTTAAAAGAATTCTAATTGTTAAAACATTGAAAATAAAGCCTTTACTATCATTCAGTGTAATTTTATACTTTTCAGAAAAATAATAAGTTTCAGCAGGATTCCCAACTTTTCATTATTAAAATTTTTAATTTGTATGCATTTGAATTATAATATATTATCAGTTATTGGTTATATGTCATCGAGATATAGTCAACATTATTATTTGTTACAGTCAGAAAACAGAATATTCAATAGTTCTTGCTCCACATCCTTCTTTTTCAAGATTTCTGATAAAATACAAAATGACAATATAACTTTCTTTTTTTCCATTCAATGTATCCAAACTTTTCTGTCATATTTATCTGAGCATCAGATGACTCCAGGAATAGAGCCAGATTCATTCTTCATGGATGAAGAATGAGACTATTTATGAGACTATATGGGACTATTTAAGAAGATAGTGGCAAGTGGTCAAGAATAAAACGAATGACATAAAATAAAATTTAAAAAAAAAAAAGAAAAGAAAATAGTCCTGTCTGGATAGGACAGGCTGGATGAACAATCTGGAGGAGAAAACAACGGGGCTGACAGTTCCGGGGGGACATGGGAGAGGGGGAGGAGGGGAGAAGGGAAGAGGGGATAACAAAC